GGAAAAAGGGTTTGGGGTTGCTTTTTTGTCTTTCTCCCGAGAGGTTGCTGACAAGGGACCAAGCCTTTGTTCCATTGTGGCGGAGGTCAAGATCTTTGCAGGTTTGAGTCAATTTCTCTTTTTTGGCTTTTTTTACTGTCACTTTCACCTGAGCGCAGGTCTTGTTGTAGTGTATTTTGTTTATTGGTGATGGTGGTTTTTCCAATGACTGTCTGGCTTTCTCTCTTTCTGCCACAGCAGTCTGGATTTCTTCACTCCAAAAGGGTTTGAATATTTCTTCAGCATCCCCGTGGAATGTGTTGAGATGCTGCTTTAATAATATTTTTGGTGTCTCGTTCATTTAAAAGATCAGCATCTTCTGTTTCTGCTGTGCTAGAGAGCAATTCGTCCAAGGTCTTTTCGTATTCTGCCCAGTTGGCTTTCTTAAAGTTCCATCGAGTTCTCCGAGGGTGGTTCAATGCAGGTGGGGAAGTGATCTGTATAAAGATAGGCCTGTGATCACTTCCTATGTCAGCAATCACTTCGATGCGACAGGAGTTTTTAACGTCAGATGAGCAGATGGTGAGATCAGGTCGGCTGAGAGTCAAGTGGGCTCTCTGAAGTAAGGTAGGAGTTGAGTTGACATCTTGTAATACAGATAGGTTGCTGGTTTCACACAGCTCCTCAATCTTTCGGCCTGTGCCGTTATAGTTGACGTAGCCCCATTCAGGAGAGTGGCCATTGAAGTCACCCACACAAATTGTTTTTTCATAGTAGGCTGCTTGCAGATCAGACAAGTCGCATGTTGTCGGGGGGGGGGGGGGGGCTGTAAACATTGTAAAGTGTGTACTTCCTACCAATGTGCCATATGGTGGCCTTCTGGGTATCTGTCGGTTGGGCAGATGATAAGTGTACGACATCTCCCTGAACATCGTTTTGCAGGTAAGTGACTACACCGCGGCATCCTGTGCATGTGCAGGCGTAACTGGTGTATCCTGTGAGGTTCAGGTCCGTACCTTTGTGTAGGGTTTCTTGAATGAGGGCAACATGAATCTGCCTATCCTTCAGTACTTTGAGGAGTTCTGTTTTCTTGTTCCTCAAACCACAGATGTTGAGTTGCAAGAGGTTGAAGGAACTCTTCTTCTGGTTGGGGATGTAACTGGCTCCCTTCTCAAGCCGAGAGCTTTTCTGTGCTGGTTTAGCACTGTTTCTGTGTATATCACCAGTAGCTGACTTGTCGCTCAGAGCAGTCCGGTGATTGCGCTGCCTGGCGCGGACCTTGTTTAACGAGGCGACGTCCGAGCTCTCATGTAGTTTATTTCTTTGTGTCATGGCATTGTGGACTGGGGTGTCTGTGGACTGCCTGCCCACCCTGAGAAGGGGCCATTCATGTTGAGGATAGGAGGGTACAAGGGGTTTTCATGAGACTGGAAAGACCGAACTGCCCTGTGACCATGTAATTCCGGTAGGGTTCACGTTGCCCATCCCCCGCCACCAATGGCTACTGGCTAAAGTTTTCTACTCTTCCATGAAGTATCGGCCAAGTGGGAAAGCCATTGGATCGTCACGTCCTGGGTCATTGTGCCTTTACTCAGAGGTTTCATGGCCAGAAAGCAAGTCAGGCATTCCGCTCGGACCATCCCCTGCACCCAAACACTCTCAAACTGGCTGGTACCTTCTCAGCCACATAGGGTGTGTTGATAAAAGCAGTAGAGGTGTTAGGCAGATTAGACACCCTCTCAAGGGAGAGTAGGGGTGTGTTAGTGAGGAGCATAGCGTCTACCACGTATTGGTGGGTTCTGCCTCCTGCACCTTGTGGGGCCACATCTGCTCCCATCCTGTTGTTTTAAACCCTCTAGGAAACGGGGGGGGGGGGGGTTGGATTGTTGGCGCCAACAACTCACCATTCGCCAGAGCCGTGTCAGTGAGGACAGGGACCACCACGGGCAGGTACGGTTGGCTGGATTGGGAGAAGCTGTTTGAGACGCTTAGGCATTTCTCAATATTTAAATGAGACCCATCACCAGTCCTTGATCCCCCATGCAATAGTATTAAAGCACAGCACAGCAAAGCATACCATCCCATACCATACCTCCACATACCATGTATACCAGAGCGCATTGTATCAAAAGATAATGTAGCATGCCACAACACGCAATACCATAGTATATCTTGTGATTGCTATAAAAAGGGGTGGGGTCGCAATTTGTGTAAACTACATGCAAAGGGCACACAGGTAGGCAGGTAGGCTTCGCCGATTGGAAAACTACAAACATCTTGTTAGCAGACAATAAAAGTTGACAAAATATAAGGAGCCAAAATATTTTAAACATAATTGTCACGATGCGATGGAATCAGGCACACGTCAATTTTTTAGCAAGTAGAGTTATTGGTACCATCTTCAAGCTTGTTCCCCTGTCTTGCTTTTGGTGAAAAAAATACTCACTTATGTGGAATAGAAATCGAGGTATTTGAGATTAAAGGAGGTATGGGTCGCCTACTTTCAGAGGTAAAACAAACGAGAAAGTGGGCGCAAACACGTTGTGACTTCCAAAGCCTTTGAAAACAGCATATTTATGTTTGTTGTGCCTTTAACCAATGGTTTGCCGTATAATCCACCCAGAATTGTGTTTTTAAATGGATATACATGGGGTTGAGCCAAAACATAATATCCATAAACATTTCCAAACGAATGGAAAAATGCCCGTTTCTTTGGTTTCATTATTTTTACCAGAGCCTGATTTCACCACGGTGTCTCAAACTTTATTTTATTGCAGTTTCTTAATCTATGGTATAGGTTGCAGTGCTGAAGAAATATTGTGTTGAAATTCTAATTCTAAATGTTGAGAACAAATCATGTATTGTTAAAAGAACGAAGCGGGGTTGTTTGGTTTTTGTTCTCACCTGTAAAATGTTGCTTCAAAGGCTTACTATACTTTAATAGCTTGCCGGTGCTATCAAAGTCATAGCAATATCATTTAGACCGTAATTTTGCCCAAAAAGCCTCAAAATATACCAATAAAGAGATATAAGGAGATAGAAAGATGATGATAGATAGGGGCTAAAGAGAAAGAGAAGGGAAAGGGATAGAGAGGAGGAGAGAGACAGATTGAGGGAGAAACAGATCATAGTACATTTTTGCGTACTCTACGAATGCACAAATATCGATTATATCCCGACCATTTCCTGTTAGGTGTAAGACATTCTGGCATTGATAAAGTGAACGTCCCTGAAATGGCAGTAGTCCAACTCAGATTTAGCTCATTGAGCAACGATTGAAGAGGCTCTTTTGGGGGTTCATTACTTTCTTATCCGTGCTGATTTTTCAATTAATTCTGTTTTCTTTATCTGAAACTTCAAAATGCAAGCAACAACACGCATACCATAAAATAAAATAATATATTATGCAAATGTGTGTTTCTGATTTGTATAAAGTGGTTTTTGAAATGTGTGACAACATTATCTCTTGTCTGTTGCTGATGGAACACACCTCTCCGAGACGTCATTAAAGAGGTAAGAATATAAAATAGCCACACCTTGCTACCACCCTACTCGATTTTTAAAAAGTCTGTTTTTAAAAGCTGTGTATTGGAAATTATAGAACATTCTGACATACAGCTGTTTGTTTGTTTTTGTTGTGTTTTTTTTGTTTGTTTGTTTGTTTTTTTGTTTGTTTTTTGTTTTGTGTTGTTGTTTTTTTTGGGGGGGGTTTGGTTGTTTT